ACATTGTCAGTAACCCTAACCTTCCTCCCCACCCCTACCCCCAGCCCCAGCTTCAAACACACTTATCCCATCGTTCTTGTCACTTTCTGAAGCAGTTCTGGAAGCCCTCTTTCATGAGTGCCTTTACTTCATTCTCCATTGTGACAATGCTCTGTGTCACACATCTCTTCTGATACAGCAATTTCTGTCAAATAAAAACATTATGGAGTGTCCTCATCCACCTTATTCATCATATCTGGCACCGTGCGACTTCTGGCTCTTTCCCAAACTCAAAATGACCATGAAAGGAAAACAGTTTGAGTCAATTTAGGACATTGAGGCAGCCACGACAGCACAACTAAAGACATCACGAAAGAGGACTTCCAGAACTGCTTCAGAAAGTGGCAAGAATGATGGGATAAGAGTGTTCTAAGCGAGGGGGAAATTTTTTTGAGGGGGATTAATGGCAGTGTGTCTTTTACTGTAATAATTTTTTTTAATTGGGGGAGAGGAACAGTGCTGGGGAATTGGGGAAGGGGACCAGCCAAGTTGTTATCAGTCTTCACTGTGGAGGGTGCCAGTTGCCATCTGGCTGCCCATCGGCAGCTCATGGCCTTTAACCTCAAGGTGCTGAGTTCAGTCTTAGTTGTGGGTGGGCGTAGCCCACCATCGAACAGGCAGTCTTGTTGTTAGGAGCACATGCTCTCACCAGCTGAGCCATCCTGCTGCCTGTTGGCAGTTCAGCGGCAGCTCAGCCCCGGTGTAGCGTCACTGGCCCATGTGGGAATCGAATCAGCGGCCCTGTTGCTCAGAGCTCATGCTCTTAAGCTAACTTTTAACCAACTGGGCCACTCGGCCGGCCCAATCTTTTTTTTTTAATTTAAAACGTTCCCCATATTTTTTATCACACCTCATACATATATGTATAATATATCTATTGGGTTGTCGGAAAAGTCATGACGTATTTTTTCTATATTTTTCTTTGCAAAAATGCATCATGACATTTCCGACAACCCAATATATATGTATATATGTATACACATACACACAATTTTTTTCTGAACCATTTGAGCTTAGGTTATATACATTATGCTCCTTTTCTTAAATACTTCAGTGTGTTTCCTAAGAATAAAATATTTTCTTATATAAACACATTATAGTTACTAAGTTCATAATTATACATTGATTGAGTTTTTTATCTACTCTATCATCTATGTTCCAATCTTGTCAGGTGTCCTAATAGAACCGTTTATAGCTTTTTTGCCTTGCAATACAAAGTCTACAGTCAGGTATTACATTGAATTGTCGTGTCTTTTAGCCTTCTTTTGAATCTGGAGTATTCCATAGCCCCTCTTATGACATGTTTGAAGAATACAGTGTTCCTTGAGTTTGTTTGCTGTTTCTCATAATTAGGTTGAGGTTATGCATTCTTGGTCAGAGCATTGTATAGGTGATAGCGTTTAGAGGCACTTGATGACATCTGACCCCATTGGTGATGGTAATTTTGATCACCCAGTCAAGATGTTGTCTGATTTTACCACTATGTAGATATTGAGGTTTTTTTCTTTCTTGTAGCTATTATAATAAGCAGTCTGTGGGAAGACACTTTAAGACCAAATTTCCCTTAGATTTAGCATCCTTCAATGATTTTTGCCTGATCCAGGTTTTTGTTTTTGTTTTTTTTAAAGAATGTTTATTGGGGAATTGGGGGATGGAAAAAGCGCTGGGGAATTGGGGGAAGGGGAACAGACAAGTTGCTGTCCTTTTTGTTCTTCAGTCTAGTTGTGGAGGACGTTGCTTCACTGGCCCAAG